TAACCATATAAATACCAAAACCATTCATTTGCAAGAGGCGCACAGAGTGTATATCGCAGTCAGCCTGCGGTATGAGAGTACGTCACCAAGGCCGGGGAGGCGGCCACGTTACATCAGCGTGATGTGAGATTTGTCGGAAAATTCCACTGTAAAATGACCATTTTCACAAATGTCAGTGACGCTAGTAGTGGTGTGGTGCTACATATAAGAATCATGGCATCGGAATCAATGAGTGAATATGTTGTTGTGGGTCCATCGCGCTAAATAATGCTTGGTATTGTGTATCGCTCTGCGGGCAGTATAGATGCGGGTTTATTAAGGATAGATGTATTTTGGCCGGTGATAGTGCCACAGAGGGCCCCGTGATTTGAGTATGAGAGACAGGCTGTAGCGCCTGGAACACTTGGTACAGGAAAGAGTGGAGTAATCAGCAGGGTATTTGTTACCCTTATGGTCATTGGAGTCACAGCGGCGACAGATACAATCAGGACAGCCAAAGGTGCTGTGACCAGGCTTGACGCAAATGGGTCAGGGCTTGTTGCGACGCGGAGTACCATCGCTCGGAGCGCTGGGGTTTGGGCCTGTGGTGAACTCATCGATTCCCGTAAGTGATGATCGCCAGTGAACTTCATGACTTTTGTATATACGTTTTCGAGGGACGGTTCATCGATATCTCGATCGAAATATCGAAACGAAAGAATTTATCGTCATCGCCGAAGTTATAGAGCAGGGCGCAGATAAGGTATTTGTCCGACAGGAACAACTTCGATGATGTCAAGAAGGGGTTGCCGTATCTCTTCTAAAGCTTGAAGAGTCGTAGCAGGGGAACCGATGGTGATGAAGTTGATGAGAGCCTACATCGCAGTCCAAAAGCGGCCATGACTGCCAGTGTCGGTGGTGACGCAGATGTATTCGAAGTACGCGGGTGGTGCCATGTCTATCACATGGGACTTGTAAACCGAATTGATCAACGATTCATTGATAGATTCAAAACGAGAATTCGGCGGCAATTGCCATCGGCTATCATACCGGGGCTGCCGTCGACTGATAGATCATTGCAATTAGGGTGTATACAATGGAGGACTCCGAAACGCTCGAGTTCCATACGAAGGCTAACAAATCTTAGGTTTGTACGCTTGTATCGGTCTTTTGTGTTTCGAAATAGGATAGTCGCTGATGGCCACGTCAGGCTTTGCGGGTGAGATACCGTATTGTTCGGCAATTGATTCATGTTTCTGGCGCACATTGTGAAGGACGTCGACCTGGTCAAGAGCGACTTGAAGTTCGGTGCGGGGTTTGTTGATCTGATAGTAAAGATAGGATGCACAATGATCGGACTTCAACTCGGTCTGCAACAGGGATTCAGTTTATGGCCGAGGCGGCGTTTGAGAATACCTTTTTCACGCTCGTCGCTGGAGTTTAAATAATGGAGCTGGTCAACTTCATACTCTATATCGACAGACTTCTGTTTGTAGTGTTTGGCGTCGTCGCGGTATTCATCACTGTTTGTTGCCAGGCCAGTTGAGATCGCGAAACTCAAGAGCGCTGTTGAGTAAATCGAAGGCTTGGATATCGTGAAGACGTCAATGGTAGAAGGCATATTGATAGATTGTACTTAAACCCGTAATTGTGGTACCGGGGGATGTGACGCGTGTATGGTAACTGAATGAGAAGGGTGTGCTGAGTACAAAAGATGAAGTTTATATGTAGTGGACTACTTTAGGTTACATAGGCCCATGACCTGATAAACCGTATAAAACTATGAATATAGTGACTTTATTAACCCTTCTATCAAGGGTTATATATTCTATGTATATTATAAAGGCTCACATAAACGTCATTTTTTGGCCAAACTGTAATAAAATTTAGAGATAGGACCGAACTGCTATGGTTAAATGGGTTCGAGACCTCGAGTGAACCCTAGGGTTATTCGCATACGCGGATTCAGATAAGTGCTGAAATACCCGAGACCAGTCTCGAGTATTTAAATGCAGCACAGTATCAGTGGCTCCTCCTGTTTAGTTGCCCATAGGAGTAGCCAACAAACTTACCGACAATCTCAAGGAAGCAGTTTGGAGTAGGTATTTTGCGCCTTACATTGGCAGTAACATTTGGTTGCTTGTGTGTTCAACCATTTTCTTATCTTGTTCATTTCTTATTTTGGTAGTTTAGCTTACTTTTAAGTATTCAATATGCCGGCGGTGACTCGGGTCCCCGTTACAGGTGAGGGTATTGATATTTACGAAGCCAAGAAAGGGCAGCTATTAATACCTGTCCTTATAGGACTCGACAATCGCAAGACGACCAGGCCATGGGCAGAAACTGAGAAATTTTCCAGCGATGCGCTGTGGGACTCGGCTGTGGGACTCGGCTGGGCAGAATCTACCCCCAGAAGCTAGTGCATCTCACACGTATACGTTCATGCGCATTTAACACATTGTTCCCCTCCACACCGATTCATACGTGATACTAACAGGAAGACCAAGAGGGCATTGATACGCAACTGTCGACTGGATACGGCGTTCTGAGCCGACATTTTCACTGAGTTTATTTCGTTGCTACCGCGACAAGCGTTGGTTTCGCCCCTCTTCCATCAAACAAGGTCTTTAAGAGATGAGATGAACTCCTCCTACACTCGAGACGGCAAGCCCACGAGTACTTTCGTGATTGACCACATCTAGGGCTGCAAGTGGATGGAGAATGATGCCGCTCGGCAGGACTCTGAAGTAATTGATTATAAGTCCTTTTTTGCACTCGGTCCAGGAATGTTCACGGCACCGGCTGCTGTCACTCCGATAAAACCACCTCACAATGAGACGCCGGCGGACAAGAAGATTCGTCGAGCCGCAGAGAAACTTTTACGAGCCGAGTCCATGGCAAAGATCGCTGCTGCGAAAAATGCTGGGCGTGCCCAGGGATTGATTCGTGCCCTCGATGCTGTCAACCACACCGAACTGTTTGCAACAGCAGTACTTCCGTGCAATGCCGCAGAAGAGGCTCATGTCGTGAATATGCTGCGCTATGCTGGCGAGGGGCACACGCCTTGTCATGCAGCTGCTCACTTTGGCGACCGATGATGTTTCTGGCAAATTCATCTATTTGTCGTATATACACCCCTCCTTTAGAGAGGCGGTTTTCAATAAACTGAAATTCGCAATTGATGCGATAGAAGATTTTATTAAGGAAGTTGTCAAGGATACATTGTATGCTCCCGTGTGGTCGTTGGCAGCAACCTACGAGCTCAACGGATTAACAGGTGTCCTTGACTGGACACGCCAGATGCGGATCCAGTCTGGTGATTCATTTTCTCTTCAACCTGTACCGTATCCATCTGGGCGAATGCAGCCACCGCACGTGCACATGATCGTCTCTAGAGTCGCATCCGGTGACTTTGTCGACAAGCGGTCAGCAGGGAGTAACCCGCTCTCCAAGCAGCAATATAAGTTGGCTCAACAGGAGAAGAAAAATCGTCAGCGATATCTGGCTGAGAAGCAGGATCACCTAGATAAAGACCCAGCCATAGAGAGCGTGACAGATGTGGAAGATATCGTGAGAATTACCACATGGAAGGCATTCTATGTACGGCACATTTGAGGTTGCATCCTGTGCTGTATGTATATTTATTTTGCGCTCATTGCAGAACTGGTGGATCTCACTTCATGGCTTTCTCGATTTTTTTCTCGTCTGCGTGTACAGCGGCGCAGTCAGCAGCCAATGATATATCTTATCTACTGTAGTTCTATCTATCAATTCAGTACCGTGCTAATGCCCACTTGGAAGCTAGAAGGGACAAGTTCTCACGTTGCCGCTCTTTAGTGGGGTAACTGCTCTGGGCACCTACGTTTAGAACTGTTAAATATGTCGCCTGTGAGTGAAACAAATTCACAATTAACAAATGCCACAGCGTTATTGGTGCGTTTCACAGCAGCTTTGCCACTTTAATATGATTCACATTAAAAAACAATGGATCGGGGTACACTGTATACGAAAAAGCAGTAACACCTTTCAGGCCTTAGCAACAAAATCATTCATGTCCACTTTCTATCTGTCTGCTACACCGCTCAACTGTTTGTAAGAATGTAAGAATGTGAGATTGTGTGCATGTGACAATTATATACATACATACCTACATACCTACATACAGACAGACATACATACATACATACTGACAGACAGACATGCATACATACAGACAGACATGCATACATATATATATATATATATATATATAGATACACACACACACACACACACACACACATATATATATATGTATACATATATATATATACACATATCTATATCTATATCTATATCTATATATATGTATATATATAAGTTATACAAATATATATAAATATATATATAAATATAAGTTATATATATATATACACATATATATATAGAAATGAATATATATATATATATTTATATATATACAGATGCACACACACACAAAAACATATATATATATATATATATATACATGTATATATACTTGTATATGAATATAAT